TAATGGGCCTCTGTAGTTAAATCAGTCTTTTGACCCAAGTTCGGAAAAGATCGTCATTTTTAATTGGTTAAGATAATTCATCGGTTGCCCGGATGGCAGAAATATGAAGTGATAAACACGATTGATAGGTGCAACTACGCACGAGATGGAGGGAATTTTTCTTTTTAAGTTAAAACACAGAAACGTTACACTTGTTTACATAGGTGACGATTTTGTCAAATATTTGAACGACACTGCGCAAAAAGTCCGCATTGAAATTCTGATTTTTTTCGTTCAAAGTTTAGAAAAATATCTATATTTTATTCCCCGTGAGTTGAAATTATGCGCCATTTCACGTCATTCCAGAGAACTAATAAAACGATTTTTCTCTCCCATTTGGTAGGTAAAAACACAGGGGCTTGTCACGAAATATTTATCTTCTTTTAATAAAGTTACCCCTACTATAAAAATACACAAGGGAGGAATCTAAAAATAGGAAATTCGCTACCACAAATTTTGACCGGACTTTCTATCTTGTTTCTGGGCGACATTCGTTGCAGACAAAGTAGGAGTGAGTGGAGTATAGATTCAATTTTAATATTCTTCAGTCAAATTCTAATCAACGCGTACCGTTAGTCATATAACTAACCTCTTTTCTCGATATTTGGATCTGGCGACAGTTCAGTGATTGGGATAAGCACGCGCCCTGCGCCATAGTCGCATTAAATTTTAAAATGTCACATTAGAATTAAAAACGCTGCGCCATCGTGGCGCATAGAAAATCATGCACTACATACTTTTAAACTTTGAGCTTTCCCCCAAGCGCTTGTCTTTCCCACAACAATCACTGTCATTTTATGCTTGAAAAAACAGTATTTAATGTCGTTCAGTTAAAGCGTTCTTATGGCTTTCTTTTCTCCAGTATCTAATCAAACAGTTACGCGTTTTCTGATTGGCTAACGCCCTTGAAATAAACTGGTGTCAGGAGTGCAGCATGCTGCCTAAGAAAATAGTAACTCGTACCGATAAAGGGCAGACTTTTCTTAATTTTAACAATCCTAACAAACAGAATTCAAGTTAATCGGTAGAAAATGACTCGGAAGAAGTATAACATGCTGACAGAACGAATGGAGATGACGGTAAGACCGATGATGTAGTCTCTTTTAATTTCATCATTCAATGATTTATCCATTTCAATTTAAGTAAACTACTTAAAAGTCAACTGAAATTCTAACAGCAACTAGGGGAAAGTGTATATTATATTAATTGCAAGTTTGTAACTAGGAAATGTCCCATTAAAAAGTCTGTTTGGCGCATTGAATTTTAAAATGTCACATTGGCACTGATTTGGAGTTTGCCATTGTCACATTTACTCCCTAGCCTATCCCAATCACTGCAGTTCTTTCCATATGCGTCAATTGAAAGCAGCGTTCTGATTGGTTGCTTTCTGTAGATAACTCGTACACAAAATATAAACTGTAAGGATTGACATGCTTAGTGAAGGATATTTAACACGTTTATATAAATAAATATAACCAAATATAGTAAAATACGTACAATGAAACCACAGCTGTATTGTTCAATGCCATCACGACAGTTTGATTTTCCCTCCGTTTTGGTGCACTAAATTAAAGAGCTACTTTGTGTACGAGTTATTTACAGAAAGCAACCAATCAGAGCCCTGCATTCAATTTACGCCGGAAATTCATATGGAAAGAACTGTCGCCAGATCCAAATATCGAGAAAAGAGGTTAGTTATATGACTAACGGTACGCATTGATTAGAATTTGACTGAAGAATCAGGGTTCGACATTCGCGCTCGTCACCTCGTCATTTCCACCCAGAAATGATTTTGGGCAACCTGATTTTTAGTCTGGCTCGCCCAAATGACGACTTGGGACGAGTTGGAAATATTTAAAAATGATATTTAATATTTCAAAATAAACTTCATAAGGCTTTGAAAACATTTTCCTGTAACAAAACCAACCCTTTCAACACGTTCAGATTGCAGCCTCGTAGATTTTTCTACCTGCCAAATATGTGTTCGATCAATCAGCAGATGCAAAATTTAACCCTTATCATGCTTTATAATATTTGTATAATATTATAACAGGGTGCTGCATAAAACAATAGAATCATTTTCTAAATATTAGTGTCTTTAAATTACAGTAGATTTTTTATTTTTTAAGATACATCCATAATCCTTATATAATTTTTATAGTTTGAATCATTACAAATGTCACTCCATTATCAGATTCATTCTAAAAACTCACCTGTGGCAGTTACAGGTAAGAAAAGGTAATGCATGTGCATTCTACACAAAACTACACTAAAATTTCATTCTTTAAAAACAAATACGATTTCTTGCAATCAAAAACAGTTTTGATGCGATGATATTTCATCACCTTTTCCTATACATATATCTACTGTGATACAGGTACGCTCAGGTAAGACAGGTAAACCTCGTTAACCAAGAAACTGGAGAAAATATTCAGTTATTTACGTTTATTTATTTCAGTGGTGTGAATAATTGTAAAAGAAATTACTAAACAAGAACAAAGAACTCAAATTCGCACGTTTTATTTCGGAGACGTGTCCACAACGTCCCAGTTCTCGAGTATATCGTCGTCTGCATAACACCAACTTTATCCAACTAATATATCTACACCTCCGGTATAAATTCGTTGAAATTAATAAAACGAACATTCTCAAAGCACTCAAAAGCAATATCTTTTCCAAATTACCAAGATAATTTAAAATAAATGCGGTTATTCGGCGTTGTTTAGGAATAAATCGTCATTGTCGATACATTCCGCAATTTTTGTAACTGAAGTAAACAAGGAATACAACCTGCGTCTTTTTGATGAGCTTTTGTACTTTCAACCAATGAAATCAGGGCTTATAAACAGTGTTTCGGTGTGTAAAACGGATATTACGAAATACCAACACAAAAATAGTCTGTACAAGGGTTTTTTATTCTTAAAATAGGAATGGGAATTTCCGATATTCAAAAAACGACTTATGCCGCGACCAGCACTGAAACGTAAAGTTGCCGATCGCGGCAAATGCCGCGATTAGCATGATAAGGGTTAATAAAAGTCTTTATTAAAGTTTTATTTGAGATATAAAATATGTCAACTTTGTCAACAATCACCTTAAATATAAAGAGTAATAATCGTCATTGTAACATCTTGCATTTCCCCCTACAACTTTCTGATCATTTGATGATCGTTTTCTGCTGCTAGACAGCCATGTTGGGTCTCCACTGTAATATCACACCTGGTTAACTCAGTCCAGGGTTATTTGAACCCATTTATGTTAGGCTTCATGGTAAGTGAAAATGAATGTTTTAAACTACAAACTTAAGCATTCTGTATGTCTGATTCAATCATTAATCTGCTTAAATATTTTTGTTTCTGTTAATTATCGTAACAAATTTTAAACAATTGCACATTGAGTTTTGTTTCATTTGATATTTGATTTGGACGACCTGAAATTCATTCGGGCAACCTGTGATCACACCATGGTTGCCCAAATGGCGAGACCAAATTTTGACGAGTGTCGGACCCTGGTCAAGAATATTAAAATTGAATCTATACTCCACTCACTCCTACTTGGTCCGCAACGAATGTCGCCCAGAAACAAGATAGAAAGTCCGGTCAAAATTTGTGGTAGCGAATTTCCTATTTTTAGATTCCTCCCTTGTGTATTTTTATAGTAGGGGTAACTTTATTAAAAGAAGATAAAATATTTCGTGACAAGCCCCTGTGGGTAAAAAAAGACGCCGATATGGGCGATTGACCAGCAAACGGGGGTTAAATGACCATTTGGGGGGGGGGGGGGGGTGTGCCCTACCTGATTATTCTAACTAGTGTAACGATATCATAGAATACGACCACAGGTAGACTGCTAGCTCTCGAAGAGTAAGTTCTGTAAACCTCACTCACGTCTGTATTTGTATATGGTACGTCGTGGTATCCAATACTGGCTTCATACCCTCCCCCCCCCCCCTTTTTTTTTTTTACAATTAAATGTTTCCCATTCTTTAAATATTCGACTAAATCCAGAGATTCATGGTCTAATATTTGATGAACAGAATAATTTATCTGATTTATTATGAAAAAAACGCTCCTAAACAATCAGAATTAAAAGGAACCATACCATTTTAACCTTCTCAAATTCGACACGTGTTGTCGGAACCCGGTTCCTTCAGAAAAGGACTATTTACCGCGCATTAATATTTATTCACAAAAATCATCACATTTAATTCTTCAGAAAATATCTTACTCATTATTTGATTATAAATAAATGAATAGAAGAAGATTGGGTGAAACGACATAATCATGAATATAACAGAAATAATAATTGGATTTATATTCTAAAGAGTCAAACGCCGGAAACTGATAAGATTGACGCGCCATCTCGAAAGTGGCAATCGGCAATCCTCGGCTGACTCCGCTACGCTCCATTCAAACAGTGTTGGGCGTGCATCAAAGTAACTCGGATTTCAAAAGTATAATATTTGAATGAAATTCAAATAAGATCACATGACTGAATCAGCAAGATGGAAGATCACCTTTGACGTCCGAGGTTATGTGCGAGGTACGAGTCATCCGCAATCGGCAATCCTCGGCTGACTCCGCTAAGCTCCATTCAAACCTCGGATGTGATAGGTGGAGGAATACGCAACAGATCGCTACATTTCTCCGCCGGAAACTGCCTTGTCACTCATTTCATATTTCGCTCTGTCTAAAGTTCTTAGAAAAGGTTTCTTTTTTAGTGTAATTCCTCGTGTTTATTACAACCAAATGTTAGTATTCTTTGAAAGCAAGAACACAGAGTTGGGCGTGCATCAAAGTAACTCGGATTTCAAAAGTATAATATTTGAATGAAATTCAAATAAGATCACATGACTGAATCAGCAAGATGGAAGATCACCGTTGACGTCCGAGGTTATGTGCGAGGTACGAGTCATCCGAGGAACTCCGATTGAGTCATCCGAGGAACTCCGATTGCGAAAGTGGCGGCTATTCCGAATTTGCCAAGACGTGTATTCTTGAAAGAGAAAATGCTGCATGAGGTGTTATTTGCTCTATCAGGACACTGTGGTGGGATTTTTAAAAGTGTAGAAGGCGAATTAAAGGTTAAATTTTTGTCCTATTTGATGATAAAAAGAAATTTGTTATAGAAAGTAATTCTGAAATCCTATCAGCTATTTTTAGTATTTAGAAAAAGCATAGGCATTCGATTTATGTCTATGGAAAAAGTCTATGAAGAATGTAAGACAACCCAGACTAGGTCAGATAGGACTAGGTTTGATAAACACAACCTAGGGCATAGATAGTAAAAACATTGCCTTTTTTAAACACCTTTAAACCAAAAAATGCATCTCTATTGTTTGGATAGCTGTCCCTCACTTGAAGTATGAGGCATGACTAAGTGTGATTGCCGTGCATTGTGCTGAATTATTATCAATCAATTATCTTGTTGACCAAAACTGCTTTTCTTTGTTAAAGTAGCTGCTTAATCACAGATTAACTGTTATACATAGCCCCAAAACTTTTAGATCTTTGATTGCAATTGCACAAAAGGAGAAACATTTTTAAAAGTGGTTTTTGGTGAATTGTTTTCAGTCCATTTCAAAGTTGAAAACTAATACTCCCTCATTATGCAGCTTTTTGTCTGCTTTTCATAAAACAGAAACTTATTTTAAAATAGCTAAATAAAGCTATAGTAAATAGGTAAATAAGCTATACAGGTAGATTAATCTATATAGCTAAATATAGTGATTTTCCTGGACCTGTAGGTTATAAATAAATAATCTGCGTCTCGAAACAAGCCTTCGCCACAATTAGAGTGCATCTCGTTTTAGTTTCAATGACGCAGATCTGCTCAGAAAGGATATTGGTTTTAACAGTTTAAGGACTTTAACTGAACAGTTGAAAATAACCAGGTACAGTACAATCTCTTGATTTAGCTATATAGCTTTAAATAGCTATATAGCTTTATTAAGCTATTCAGAATAGCTTAATTTAGCTATTTTACTACATTTTTTTTCTTAAAGGTGTTATTTTCTTAGTATGTACAAAAAAGCGCACCCTAGTGCATTGATTTAATATATTATTATACAACCTTGAACTCTTCTTAAAATAATGCATGTAAAAATCACTCATCAAATTACGACTCCTTGAGAGAATTTGTACTCAAAGTTCTACAAGTTTTGGGGGGATATAAAGCAATTGTTACGATTCTTTTGTAATAGGGCAGTCATGGTTCCAAAATTTTTCGGGTCGGGTCGGTTCTTATTTTTTTAAGGTTTGGTTTCGGGTTTTTCCGTTCGGGTGAATTATACAGTGGAATAAAAGCTCATGATTTGAACTATATTTGAAGAAATAGCAAAATAATAACTAGTTTAAAGTAGTTTCCTGACTAGAAAACAATTGTACCAAATTATTTAAATCACACTATAATGGCAATGTACTAAGTTAAACGAATCTCTCGTCATTAGCTCTACTGGTCAGAGACCAGAAGAGCTTATGCGATAGTAATGCGTCCGTCGTCCGTCCGTCTGTCTGTCTGTCCGTCTGTCTGTCTGTCTGTCTGTCTGTAAACAATTTTTCAAAATGCTACTCCTCCTACAGTTTTGGTCCGATTTCAATATAACTTGGCACACAAGTAGACTACACTAAGATACATAATTCTGTGCATCGGTTTTTGATTTCGATGAACGTTGTTGCCGTGGTTACTAAAAATAGAAATTTCTGTGAAATTCTTTCAAAATGCTACTCCTCCTAAAGTTTTGGTCTGATTTCAATATAACTTGGCACAAAAGTAGACTACACTAAAATACATAATTCTGTGCATCGGGTTTTGATTTCGATGAACGGTGTTGCCGTGGATACTAAAAATAGAAATTTCTTTGAAATTCTTTCAAAATGCTACTCCTCCTACAGATTTGGTCCAATTTCAATATTACTTGGCACACAAGTAGACTACACTAAAATACATAATTCTGTGCATCGGTTTTTGATTTCGATGAACGGTGTTGCCGTGGTTACTAAAAATAGAAATTTCTTTGAAATTCTTTCAAAATGCTACTCCTCCTACAGATTTGGTCCGATTTCAGTATAACTTGGCACACAAGTAGACTACACTAAAATACATAATTCTGTGCATCGGTTTTTGATTTCGATAAACGGTGTTGCCGTGGTTACTAAAAATAGAAATTTCATTGAAATTCTTTCAAAATGCTACTCCTCCTACAGTTTTGGTCTGATTTTGATATAAATTGGCAAACAAGTAGACTACACTAAGATACATAATTCTGTGCATCGGTTTTTGATTTCAATGAACAATGTTGCCATGGTTACTAAAAATAGAAATTTCTGTGAAATTCTTTCAAAATGCTACTCCTCCTGCAGTTTTGGTCTGATTTCAGTATAACTTGGCACACAAGTAGACTATACTAAGATACATAATTCTGTGCACTGGTTTTTATTTTGATGAGTGGCAAGGATCATTTTTCTATTTATTGCTGATTTAAAGTCTCAAGTCCCAACTGCTACTTTTCTCTTCCTTTGTTTTAAGTATAAACCAGTAGAGCTACAGTCTCGACAGAGACTTCTGGTTTTTATGGTAAAACCTACTCTATTGTACAAATCTGAACCGAAACGAATTCTGGAAAAACAGAACCGTACCCGAATTAATTGTTCCTCGGTTCCGGGTCATTTCGGTACCCATGACAGCCCTATTCTGCAATGATATTATAAAGGAGACCATTTATGGTCAACAAGATAATTGATTGGTAACAGTTCAGCACAATGAGAAGCAATCATACCTATCCATGTCTTAACGCACTCACTGCCACTCAGGGTAGTGGACAGTTACTTTAACAATAGAAATTCTCTTTTTGCTCAAAAGTACAGGTATTCAAAAGCTGCAATGTTAGAACTATCTTTCATTTTGGTTGTTGTTTTGATAGCGCATAGTAGTACATATATGAAGAGTCAAATACATGCAACTTTTTGTTTATTTCTAGCAAAAAAAACATTTTTGTGAAAAACTGTATATAAATAGCTAATAAATAAAGCTATTTTGAATAGCTTAATAAAGCTATATAGCTATTTAAAGCTATATAGCTAAATCAAGGGATTGAACTGGACCTGATAACTAGGTCCAAATCTACTGACTTATAGAATGAATTATAACCGTTGTAACAACCATACATATGATTCTGTGCCAAGGCAATTCCATGTAAAATAATGAAAAAAAAATTACAAAGATCTGTGGACATATTGCATAAATACACTCGTATTTCAAAATTTTACTGCAATGAAATTATATATAATTCTGTGTCATTTTTAGCTCTACTGGTCAGAGACCAGAAGAGCTTATGCGATGGTAATGCGTTCGGCGTCCGTCCATCTGTCTGTCTGTCTGTCTGTAAACAATTTTTCAAAATGCTACTCCTCCTACAGTTTTGATCTGATTTCAGTATACCTTGGCACACAAGTAGACTACACTAAGATACATAATTCTGTGCATCGGTTTTTGATTTTGATGAACAGTGTTGCCATGGTTACTAAAAATAGAAATTTCTGTGAATTGCTTTCAAAATGCTACTCCTCCTACAGTTTTGGTCCGATTTCAATATAACTTGGCACACAAGTAGACTACACTATTGACTAAGATACATAATTCTTTGCATTGGTTTTTAATTTTGATGAACGGTGTTGCCATGGTTACTAAAAATAGAAATTTCTGTGAATTGCTTTCAAAATGCTACTGCTCCTACAGTTTTGGTCCGATTTCAGTATAACTTGGCACACAAGTAGACTACACTAAGATACATAATTCTGTGCATCAGTTTTTGATTTTGATGAATGGTGTTGCCATGGTTACTAGTGATGGAACGATTGTCGCCGACAATCGATTGTCGGTCGTTAGAAGCTCTTGGATGCTACTAATCGATTATAAAATAAATGTCGCCGACATCGCTAACAAAAAATAAAATTGTCATACTTTAATTTTATTACCAAATCCAAGTGCAAAGAGCATAAAAGCAGTGATGAACATTGAAAACATGGAAGGATTCCGTGTCTTGTTGATACTTTTACCGCCATGATTAAATATGGGGTTAGACTAATACCAGGAAATGCTAATATTGCAAGGTTTTACTATACAAAGGAAAACATAATTAGTCTAGTCAATCTTTAAACGTAATTATTATCATAAATACAAGTCTAACTTCTGGATAATTACTTTTAAGACTTGCAATTTTATTATTTTAACTAATTAAAACTAATTTTAAGAAAAATATACATGTATTAAATGAAAAGTGGGACTAATATCAGTAAAATACCCATTGCATGGACTTTATAAAAAAAATAAAATGAATTCCCATTCTGTTTCAATAGTCTTCTATAGTCCTATATTGTTTAAAGTAAACAAAATATCATTTTCAACTTTTTATAAAAGAAATTTCAATTAACATTTTTGAATATTTTATGTAAATAAATGGTTTTTTTTGTAAAAGTCTGACAGAAATCTGAATAAGTTTCAACTTTTCTATATTAATTTTATTAAAGTTCAAAATTTCGATTATAATCGATTATTAATCGATTATGCCCAGCCAATTATTACCGATTATCGATTCTGATTTTTTTCCGATTCCCCATCACTAATGGTTACTAAAAATAGAAATTTCTGTGAATTGCTTTCAAAATGCTACTCCTCCTACAGTTTTGGTCCGATTTCAATATAACTTGGCACACAAGTAGCTTACACTAAGATATATAATTCTCTGCATCGGTTTTTGATTTTGATGAACGGTGTTGCCATGGTTACTAAAAATAGAAATTTCTGTGAATTGCTTTCAAAATGCTACTCCTCCCACAGTTTTGGTCCGATTTCAATATAACTTGGCACACAAGTAGACTACACTAAGATACATAATTCTGTGCATCAGTTTTTGATTTTGATGAACGGTGTTGCCATGGTTACTAAAAATAGAAATTTCTGTGAATTGCATTCAAAATGCTACTCCTCCTACAGTTTTGGTCTGATTTCAGTATAACTTGGCACACAAGTAGACTATACTAAAATACATAATTCTGTGCATCGGTTTTTATTTTGATGAGCGGC